CTTTTTGTCCATTATCACTGTAGCTCCTTTATCCGCCTGAAGGACTAATTGTTCATTCGTTTCCAGGATTTTGAGTATCACTGCAAATCTGTTCCTGTGTGTAGACTCCTAATGTGTCAAGATCTTTGGAATTAGTTCCATCTCGATTTCCCGTTATGTCTCCTCAGGGAACTTGTTGGCGATATTGATAACCTCCACCAGGCTGTCTCCTAGAAGCCTTATGTGATGTTGAATTAAAAAATTGAGTCGTTTTTCCAGGAACGTGTTGTTTCGGGATTGAGAGGAATTGATGATAAATTTAGTACTTTCTTCCTATCATCGTGCTGATCAGTAGGTGTTGTAATCTCGGAAGCCACTTCAATTTGGCGTACTGGCTTTAACTTAGGCCTCCTTATAATTCCAAACTTACGTAATTTACTGTCATGTCGTTTTGTTATTAAGTCAGAAATCCTACGTGAATTCCGATCGGTCGTGCTCTGGAGTTTTTGAAAATCTTCCGAAGACAGAATCCTGGCCAAATCACACTGGAGCTTTGACTTAATATCTATAAACTTAAACAACTTATTCCGTTCTGTATCATAGGTCTCCCTTAGTTTATGAATAGAAGCCTAGTGGAGATACTCATTAACTTTATCTGAGTGGTAGGGTCTCTTAAGGTCACAAAACTTAGGAGTGACACAATAACGTTTACAACAGTTAGAAAAAGTAAGATGGGAAGATAGATTTACAATTGTCTTCTTTGTTCGGCTGTATTTAGTGCATTGTTTGATAATTTTACTATCGTAGTTTAATTGAAGATATGAAGACCAAGATGTTGTGGCCACGAAAGAGAAATAAACACGTCACAAGTCTAGCAACGCAACATGAAAGGTTAGACAATTTGGACTGTTCAGGAGCTTACTGTATATCATGCGGCGCCTGCGAACAGAAATATATTGGCGAAACAGGGAGAAAAATAGCACACGAATCAAGGAACATAAAAGGCTCTGTAGGAAAAGGGATACCGAAAGATCAGAACTAGCGAACACATCGCACAGGCTGGACATGAGATCAAGTGGATGGCAACAGAAAGAAGAGCCCCATACGGTGACAAGACGAGGAAGCGGAAGATTAGGGAGGCCATTGACATCCTTGGGGAGAAAAATCGAATAAACAGGAGATTTAGGGAAGGTAGAGTTAGCGATAACTTTGCCTACTGCCTAAGCAAACTCGGGGAAAACAAGAATAGAGCAAGACCAGCAAAAAGGAGACGACTAGATCAAGGATCTACCGCTAACCGGAAGGGAAGTGATCGCGATGAAGGAAGTGAGGGGCAGGGGTTTTCGTCAATAAAGCGAAGAAGTTGTCAGTGAGTGATGTCCATTTCAAATAAACCAGTACAATTTTGTGGGCATGGCAGTCAGGGAGCGGGGCAGACGGATAAACAAACCATCATGGAAATTCGGCGTTATGCCTAAAATACACTAGAAATCCACTTGAGATGCCGCATGCGACCAGAGATAGGCATTCAAAGTTTTTCATATAACATGTGTTTAATTAAGGAGAGGACCCGTTAAGGGAAGGCCTGATATCTGCAAGCATGGGAATCAGAGCTTAGGCGCTCTGTTCAGTGAAGCGGCAGTGTAAGTGCTTCTAGGGCCTTTAGAAATAGCTCCTGGAGTGAACTGCACACTGGGACTGGAACCGAAGGAAATCGGTCAACCAGAAAGATAAAAAACGGATCTACGAGACAATGAGGGGATCCGGATTGGAGACCCGAGTGGGATCAGTCGATCGAAAGAGAGGGGTCGGGGTAAATAGCAAGTGTGATGAGGCCACACTAGATTTGCCACAAAAGGGAGCAAACATTTTGTCGAGTGTAATGTAAACAAGTGAGAAGTTGTGATAGGGCGGCAGTGGAATTATAGGGTAAAGAGTAGATAGATAGGCCAGGACAGAAAGAGGAGTGATAGTGTAACCGTTTTCAGCAGAACGTCTATAAGGAATGACTTCACTTGTCTCTGACGCGTTCGTAGCTTGGTGTGGAGAATGGCAAAACTCACTGATGCTTGGAATCATGACAACTACTATGGCAGACGACTTCGGACTAGGTGCGTTCTACTAAGTCGCCC